CAAGCAGATCTGTGGACCAGTCCTTCCATTGCTGGGGACCCTTGTTGTCTGCTGCGCTTGGAGGAGTTGCCAGGGTGGCGGCAGGCAGGGCTGGGGAAGACTTGGCCTCTGGAGGCTGGTGTTCAAATGTGTCCAGAGTGCCAGGAGGTGGCAAGCTGAAGAGTGGCAGTGAAGGTTGAATAGAGCTTCCTTGGCTTTCCCACAGACGGGGGGTGTCAAGCCTTGGAAAGAGGAAGGCAGGGGGCCTCAGGTTTGTTTGGGACCCCAGGCTTCCATGATAAGGAGCTATCTCCAGGATCTCCTGGCTACTCAAAGCAGGTGGGAGCTCAGGCCTCACTGAGGCTTCAGCAGACAGGATGCTGGCAGAAGCCCCTAGCTCCTAAGTTGTGGGGCCCCAAGCAGAACTCGCAGACCCTCTGAGAAGGAGGTCCTGGGTCTGTGAAGTTTGTAGAGAAGCAGCTGCCAAGCTTGGGGGCCCAGGATCTGAACTATAGGTTGGAGAGGGGCGCAGGGATACACTCAGGGCTTGGAGAGGGGCCTGTCTGAGGCCAATTACCCCTGTCAGAGGAGAGGGGTCTACAGGTGCCTTCATCCAGGGGTTGGTGAAGAGAGCAGCAGAGCTTCCTCTGCCAGGCCAAGTAACAGTAGGAGAGGCCCCAGGAGGTCCTTTCAAGGTGCCCAGAGGCTCAGCACCCCTTTCCCAGGATCCCAGGTTCTCACTGCCTCGAGGAGACACAGGGAGATGGGAATCGGGCCTTTCTAGGAGTAAGGCAGTGGTGTTGGAGGCATGGAGACCAGAGCAGGCTTGGGGGTCTGTGTCACGTGGTGTGCACGGCCCCACCGACTCAGCAACTTCTAAGTGGGCAGTGGTTGGAACATCTGAGGAGCCCACCGGCCTGCCAGCCTCAGTCTAGTCCAGGGGCTCAGGTCCAGCCTAGGAGACATGGGAGGGGCTCGCCAGCTCCTTCCCCTGTCTTGAGGGCAATCTCCGCTCTGGAAGCAGAGGAGGGCCTGGAAGGGCTGCATTGGGCTGGGCTGGGGGCTCCTCCTTGGAGAGTACCAGGAAGTAAGGGATGGGGGAGCTGCTCAGAGAAGCTATCCAGAGAACACAGAGGACAACAGCCAACAGCAGGGTCCAGAGCCCGCTGGCTGGAATACCCGTGACTTTCTTGACACTCATGCCTACCCAAGGCCTCCTCAGCTGGGTCTGAAGGCACAGTAGGCTGGGCTAGGGGGCTGGCCTTGAGGACTGGAAGCAGCTTTCCCATCTCCAACAGGGGAGCTGTGGGGTCAGAAGAAGTACTTTGAGTCGGGTCAGAATGGGCCCTGCTCCTAGTTTTCCTTGAAGAGGTTAGGGGAGACCCAGACCCTTTAGCTTAATCCTGTTGCCAAGAGCAAGCAGGGAAGTATCTGGAGGTTACCAAGGGGAGTGTGTGTCTTGATAACCTCACCTAGACTGACTCTACTCTGGGGCCAACTCTCTCCTCGCCCCAGGACACTAACTCAACAAGACAGAGCCATCCCCTCTCAGCTCACTCACCTCCTTGCAGGCTTAACTCCTGCTGGCTGAAGCTAGCCAGTTGGGCCCCTTGGCATTTTGTATTAGGCTGGGGTGCCACTGGGGCATTAAGAAGGCAGGGCCTCACCTAAGCTGGGAGCCTCAGCTGAACTCCCTCTTTTATTAGGGCAAGAGACAGGCATGCTGGCCCAGCAAGACCACCTGGGCAGAGCTGAGGACAGACTGGGGCTAGATCAAGAGGGGCCAGATGCAGAGGATCATGGCTGCCTGGGTTCTGCCATAGCTCCTGACTTGAGGAGACCCATTAGCAAGTTCCTGGGCTTCAGTTTCCCCATCTGTAACCTAAGGGATGGTGATATGTTGGTGGTTAGTGTTATTCAAAGTCATGATTCCTGGACACCTGACTCAGAATCACCTTGCAAGCCTGGTGGTGGTGGTGGTGGGGGACAGGAAAGTTGACCAGGTGATTGTTTGAGAAGCCCCACCTGCCTCTGGCCTAGGAGCCTCAGATGATGACAGGGGAATTGTGGGACTAGAATCAACCAAGGCTGAAGTATGCCCTGCTCTAGTTTCCTTGAAGAGGGAGGTGGACCTAGCACATTCAACCCCCACCCCCAACACCTTCCTTTCTCAGCTGTTAGCCATCAATGTTCCTACCAAAAGACGGAATCAACCAAAATCAAACCAACTGCCTTCGAGTTGATTCTGACTCACAGAGACCCTATAGAGCAAAGAACTGCCCCCCACAGGGTTCCCAAGGCTATAAATCTTTATGGAAGCAGTCTCCCACATCTTTCTCCTATGGAACAACTGTGAGTTTGAACCACAGACCTTTCAGTTCGTAGCCAAATGCCTTAGCCATTGCACCACTAGAGTGCCTATGGACATTATAGGCTTTGTGAAAAGTGGTATTAGGGGTGCTAGCCAGGCTAGGGCACTCCTCCCTCAGCTAGGAGTCCTGGGGTAGAGTCTATTTCTGCCTCCAAGCTGAGGCTCCCTGGAACACCGTAGTCTCCTCCCTTAGTTTAGAGCTCTCCAGGCAGGACTAAATCATTCCTTCAGACCCTGACCACCCAAGAGTGCTTTCTCAAGGACAGCAGCCACATCCCTCAGCTGGAACCTACCCTACACCACCCCTATCTGACTTCTACTTGTTGAGTCCTCTGGGGCCCCAAGTGGGCTTGGTTGCTAAGCAGGCCTCAGGCCAGGCCCTGTAACTGCGGGCTAGGTGAGTGCCTGACATGCAGCAGGGCACAGCAGGTATGGAGCGCAGGAAGCCCAGGACTCAGAGCCTCTCCATCCTGTCTCCTGTCCTAGAGGTGCTTCACGTGATTCAAACTTGCTCACTTCAGTTTTCTGCAAAATACACAGACCATCCTTCCTACTTTTCAGGTTGTGGTATTTAATCAGTTGATGTAACGATAAATGTGTTGGATTTTGAGCCAGATTTTTGAGCCCCAGCCTCCTCCTCTTTCTTGTTCCTTGCACTCCGGCCATACCCAGTTACTTCCGTTTTCCAGATATAGCTCGGCACCTTTGCACATCTGTTCCCTTTGCTCAGACCGTCCCCACATTCATTTCTACTATTCTTGTCTTCAAGGCCCAGTACAGCCATCACCTTCTGGGATCTGACACCCCTATCCCCAGACTAGGGTATGCTCCACCCCTGAGCTCCCACAGCTCCCCTTCTCCAGGTTTGGTCACTGTAGTGACCCCAGTGTTATAGTGGCCTATCCTGGTCATAGGCCAGGGAACTCCTCGTGTGTGTGTGTAACTGGGGTGGGGGTGGTAGCCGCTACTCTAAACCCCAGCCCAGTGCAAGTCCAGCAGGCAGTCAGGTGATGAGGGATGGCTAGGTGGCTCAGTGAGGACCCACAGAGACTAGGACCCAGGCCAGGCAGGGTCCTAGTGCAAAAGCTAAGAACCAACCTCTGGGGGAGCCCAGTAGAAGAGGGGTCTCTGAAAGATTGGCTGTCACTAACCCGTTCAGCTAAGCTAGGGGAGGGACTGCCCTTCAGTGGGCTGCAGTCACCAGCATAGGGAGAGGTGACAACTCTGTTCAACAAAGATCTTGGTGGGCACCATACTTGGTCTCAGGAGAGGGGCACATGTTGGGGTCTGGTGACCAGTATTTCTCACTGGGCTGCAGACCAACAGCCTACTGCGACCCACAGTTGCCTCAAGATGGAGGGAGGAGCTTATTCTGAGCAGGGAAGCTGCTGTCCAGTGCATATATGACAAGGGCCTGCACACCTGGAGCTAGCCACACAACTGCCCTGGACACCCTCTGTGCCCTCTGGGATGGGTGCAGGGGGACCTGCAATGTGAGCAAGGGGACTAGGTATCCCATGACGTAGTATAAAATCCACAACCCAAAGTCCCCACCAACACACACACAGCCAGGCCCTAGTTCCAAAAACCACCAAAATGCTTTAATGGTCTGCCCTCCAGGGCCAGTAAGCCTTATATAAAACATTAACTAGGTCAAGGGCCTCAGGTTGCCAACCTCTGGCTCAGCTTGGCAGACTGCTGGGAGGGGGCCCACAGCAGGCCTGGCTGATAAGAGCTCTAGCATGGGAGGGTACCCATGTCCCTAGTCCATGTCTTCAGAGACCTCTTGGGACTGTGCTGCCACTTAGCCTGTCCCCTCTAGTCCCTAAGTCTCCATAGCTGCTTGGCTTCCAGAAAACATACAACTTTCATGGGATAACGTACAGGGTATGGCAACTCAGGGAAATCCCTGCTTTCAATTCAGGCCAGGCCTGGGAGAAGTTAAGTCCAGAACAAGGATGTCGGCACCAGTAGTGGGGACAGGGAAAGGCAGGCTCCCTCAAGGAGCTCCAGGTTAGGAGTTAGGGTCCAATCCCAAATGCTGGGGAGCTTTAAGCCGAACTTTCCTGGGGAAGGACTCCATAAGGTATATATGTCTGTGTGTGAGTCATATACACTATACAATGTACCGCTATGAGAACAGGTCCTATGACACAGAGGCTTTCTACAGGGAGGTTCTGCTCCTCTCAGCCATCCTAAGCCCTGGCAAAGATAAAGCCCTGCCTGGGGCAGGGGAGGGCAAAGAATGAACCGTGTTGGGTGTGTGTCAGGCATCATCCCCACAACAACCCTGTGAGGTAGGTTGTGTTGTTCTATTTTACAAATGGGGAATCTGGGGCTCAAGAGAAGGGCAGTGACTCGCCCAGGTCACAGCAAGGGGCAGAGGAGCCAGGATTCAAGCCCAAGCCTGTTGGGCTCCAAAGCCCACACTTTTTCTCTTGGGAAGAAACAGAAGTAGTCCTTTCTAACAGAGCCTCAAGTTAAAAGTAAGGCTTCTCAGCCCAGTCTGGAGTAGTGGTTCCAGGGTGAAGGCTGGAGAAATTCTAAAGGGCATGTTCACCACTGACTCTGGGGAGCTGGACAGGCAGAGGGGTGCAGACAGTGACCCCCCCCAGACAGTAAGCTGCCCATACAGCATCAGCAATCAATGCTACAGGTGGTGGCTCTGGCTTCTCAACAGCTGTGGGTGGGGTGAAGGCCGGTCTGGTCCTGAAGGTTTGTGGCCCCAAGTAGGCAGTGCCAAGCCATTGAGCCAGGCGTTCTCCAGCAAGCTACGGAAGCGGGCCCTCAGTGTGGGGGCTGGTGGGCTGGTGCTGGCAGCTGGGGTAGGTGAAACATCATGGGACCCTTCCCCAGAGGCTGCCTCTGCCTTCTCCAGACCGGGAGTTGATGGTTTCCTCCCCGGTTTCCTGGCCTTGGGGGGCGGTGACTTCTGAGCCAGGGCTAGGCTCTCTGGCTCGTCTCTGGCCATAGTGGGTTCTGAAGGGGGCACAGCTCCAGCTTCAGGGTCTAAGTCACCTGGAGAATGAACACACAGTCAGGTTGCAGAAACCACACACCCTCAGTTCCAACCTCCTGGCCTTCAAAGCCATCCAGACTCCTGGTTCTGTCTGCTCCTGGCCAGGATGGCAACAGCAAGGTCACAGCCACCATGATCCTTCCCCACATGTACACTCTGGTCAGACTGTCCAAGCCAGAAAAACGCACTTCCACTAGGTGACACAGGAACTCTATCAGATAAAGGCAGGGAGGGAAGCAACCACAGCTCAGGAGAGGAAAGGGGCCCAACAGGCCAGGAGCTATTAAAACCAGGTGCTCAACTCTGACTGAGAGACAGAGACAGAGACAGAGAGAAAGTGTGTGTATGACTGTGTGTGTAACTATACTCCATAAGGTTTCGAATGGTTGACTTTTATCAATCATTTAATCAAGGGTTGATTATTAGGAGATTACTAGGCCTTTCTTCTGAGAAGCCTCTGGATGGACTTGAACCTCTAACTTTGTGGTTAGTGACTAAGTGTATTAACCATTTGCACTACGTAGCCTCCCCCGAACCACTGACTTTGTCCAAAGCCCCACTGTACAGATGCAGAAAACTGAGGTAAGATGCTAGAGGGCCCTGCCACACAGGAGGTGGTGCTCCCCAGAGCTAGATGGAGAGCTGGAGCCCAGGCAGGGTCTGCCCAGCAATGCTCAGGGGGAGGACGGAGGAAGCAGTTGAGGGAAGGAAAAGGGAGGAGCACACCTGCTTGGAAGGAAGGCTGCCAGCGGAGCACAGGAACCCATAAGAAACTAAGGTGAGACTGACTGGATGGAGGCACGGCAAGCTCAGGGAAGGAACAGGGATGGGGTATCCAAATCCAGTCAGTGGCAGGCAGCCTGGCCCCAGTCACTTCCTTACCAGGCCCCGGACTCTTACAGTCCCAATCAAAGCATGGGATCCTGTGGAAAGCGTGGGCCCCACTGGCCACCAGGAAGCCCAGGAAAAATGGTCCTCTACTCCATCTGTACAGGGGACATCAGAGTGATGCCTGACACCCACCCACACTGTTTCACTGAGGAAAGAAAGCAGCATTTGCATTCTCTTTATTCACCAGTAAGGCATCTGCCCAACTTCTTAAGCTGTCAGGGTTCAAGTAGGCTGGTCACCGAGAACCCAAGCTCCATACCAGCGTCCACTATCTCAGGCACCTTCTCCACTCCAACCTGGAGCCTTGAGCAGGTAAGAGCCCAGGGCAAGGCCACCAGGATGGAGAAGGAACTGGAACACTTCCTACTGAGAAACTGCTTGGACAAAGGCTTGGTGGTGGGGAGGTAGGGTGGGTGCGGGCAGCAGGTAGAGAAGGGTAGCAGGGAGGGGTCAAGTGCCTCAGGGCTAAGGGGTCAAGGACCTGGGTAAGGAAGCATAGCTCACACACATCACACAACACAATGTGGCAGTTCCCCAAAACAAGGCCAAACTTCCCAAACTGATGCCCATGATTCTCTAAGACATTGGAGGGGTGGGAGAGCACACTGGAGAACAATATGGGTAAGACAATAAAAGAAAATAAGTATTCTGATTTATGAGTATCCTTCTGTTAGGGACTGAATTGTGTCCATTAAAATGTGTTGGAATCCTAAACTGTCTACCTGTGATGCAACTCTATTTGGAAATGGGGTTTTCTTTGTTATGTGAATGTGTCTACAACCAGTGTAGGGTGTGTTCTCAGTCTACTCACTTCTGGGTTCTCTGGAGTAGCACAAACACAGAAACAAGCAAGCACACACTGGGGAAGACAGATGCCACGTGGGGATCACCAGCAAACATGGGGCTACAGATACTGGAAGGGACAAGGCTCTTCCCCCAGAGTCAAGAGAGAGCCAGTGCCCTAAATTTGGATTTCCAGCCTCCTGAACTGTGAGAAAATAAATTCCTGTTCTTTAAAGCTGTCTACCTGTGGTATTCCTGTTACAGCAGCACGAACTAGCAAAGACAGACACCTTCTGTATATGTAAATGGAGGGCTGAATAAACCCACTCAGAGGCAACAGAGTTTGAGACAGGAGGGCGGGATGCCAGCAGGTTTCAGGCTTCAGGAATTGGTGAACAGTGCCATCACCGAGAAAGCAAAAACAGGGAGAGGGAAGTGGGCTTACAGAAAGGTCAGGAGTGTGGTTTGGGAAGTGTTTGAAAGACTCCCAGATGCAAACGTCCAGCAGGTAGTTGGGTTTTTGGGGCTAGAACTCAGAAGAGGGAAGCCTAGGCTAGATGCAGATAGAAACTTGGGCCTGGGCAGAACCCCAGCAAGACCAAAGGAGAAGACTGCATCAAAGGTGGAGAAGGCACAAGCAGGGGAGAAGGGAATCCAAGTGACCGAGAAGTCAAGCACGCTCAGAGGCCTATGCCTAGACATGAAGCCCATCCCAGAAACCAGCCCACCTCTAGCATGGTTTCTTGAGCCTTCTGCCCTTCCTGGCAACCCAGGACTCAAGAGTCACACAGCCCCAGCTGTGGCCCACTCACGCAGCTCACACACCTGCCACTTGCTCACAAAGCTCCGGTGGCTACTGGGGCTGTCCCATGCTCACCCAGCTGGCGGCGTATGCAGTCACGCCACTGCAGGTTCAGCAGGTCAGGGTAGATGTCAGGCAGCTGGCGCAGAGCCAGTAGCTTCAGCATGCGCAAGGTGCAGCCGTGCAGGGCGCGGTCTCGCAGCGCCCTCTCCTCCGACAGTGTGGTGGGCCGCAGCTCCACGCGGTGCTCCTGCAGCACATGGTCCACGGAAGCAGGGGGCAGCTGCGGGAAGAGTCGCTCCTTCACCAGGTGTATGGGCACAAAGATTGCGCCGGCTCGCACAACATGGGGGAAGGGGCATTGATGCGCGTACACGAAGCTCTGCAGCTGTGACAGCAGCTTTTCCAGCAGCCCCTGTATACCTTGGCAGTCCTGCCATGCTGCCCGGCCCCAAGGCTCAGCCGCCTCAAGCCACTCACGCAGCTTCTCTGGCGGGGAGTGGGCCACCGAGCCCGAGATGGCATCACACAAGGATGCGTGCAGCCCTGCAAAGCGCTGCTCTGCAGAGTCCACCAGGGTTGAGGCTTGAGTAGAAGCTGGAGCAGGGCCAGGAACTGGGGCAGGAGTCGGGGGTGGGGCTGGAGCTGGAGCAGGTGACATAGCTGGAGCAGGAGCTGGAGCTGGAGCAGGAGCTGGAGAGGCCACAGCCAAGGCTGGAGGGCTAGGCAGTGCCAGATTTAAGCAAGCCATAGGCAAGGGCTGGGTGATAATCTTCAGTCCAATGGGCACAGAAGTGGGGGTGAGCGCAGGTGGGGCTGGGGCGGGAGCCGAGGTGGGTACTGATGGGACCACAGTTGCAGGTAAAGGTGCTGGTCGGAGGATCTTGAATTTTCGAAACATGAAGGCCACAGAGCTTTGGAAGTTGGTCCTTGGTGTGGCCTCTGTGGTCACTGGTGCCCCAGGGAGCCCTGGTGCTTCTGTGACTAGATTTTTCAGGCCTGGCAAATCTGAGACTGTGTTCTCCATACCAAGTACATGTGAGGTTGTAGTCCCTGTACCTGGCAGATCCAAGACTATGTTCCCCACACCTGGCATGCCTGTGACTGTGTTTCCAACATTTAGTGTGTCTGTGGGCTTGGCAGGTACCACAGGACTAGGGACCTTGAGAAGCGACATTTCAGTCACAGGCTTCTTCACACTCAGGTCCAGTGCCACTTCCTCCCTGAGAGAGCAGCGTGTCTCCAAGGGGGCCTCCTGGGCAGGCAGGGTCCCCTTGCAGTCTTTGCCATGGCTCTCATTGGTTGCTGGGACTTGGTCAGGCTCAGACGTGGCCTCGGGTGCCTGCACATCCAGGTAGTCACGGTAGGGGGCCAGGCTGAAGACGTTGTCAATAATGGGCATGGGTGGAGAGCTGGGTGGACTCGTGCCCTTGTGCTGTGGGAGGGATTGACGCTCCTGGGCACAGGGGGGCAGTGCCGGTGGGGTGCGAGGAACTGGACTGTCTCGGATGACGATGGGTGCCCCGGGGTGCTCATCAAGCCGGGACCGGAGCTGCTCTTTCCTGCAGCTAGGCAACCATGTCTTCTCAGCTGCCTGCACCGGCTTCTCAGTGGGCCTCACACGCTCTAAGTGTGGCTGGCTGGCAGGAACAGGCTGACATGTCCGATGGAAGGCACCAGGTTGTGGCACAGCCCGCACACTGTCCTGGGAAGGTGGTGTTCCTCCAAGCCCTGGGGATGCTCCATAGAGAGAGAGGTCGTCCCGGTTATGAGGAAAGCCCAGTGTCTGGGGGGGAAAGTCCAGTGGGCACCGTGGAGCAAGTGGTGGCTCTAGTTTGAAGCTTGGTGAGGGTGCTGGGAGAGGGGCAGAAGGATAGGAATAAGTGTCCAGCCCTACTGGGGGCACATAAGGTGTCTGAACTGCCTGCTGTCTTAGGTAGGGGCTGCCCAGCCCACCAGGTGGGTACCCAGCTCCCTTGTGGGTTCCCAGAGGCTGAAGTGGGAGCACTGAGCTGTAGCTGGCCTGCTTCTCGGGGTGGCGACAGGCTTGTGGACAAGGCAGGGTCTGTGGAGTGTGGGACAGCGGGTAGTGCATGGGCACTGAATCCTGGCAGGCTGGTCCCAAAGGCTGGGCCAGCTGGGTCCAAGGACTGGGGGGCCCCTCAGGCAGTGCCTGCTTGGGGTCCCCAGAGTAAGGATTTGCATACTTGGAGGGTAGGAAGCCTGTACTGTGAATAGTTTGATACTTTTCCAGGAATGCCTGGCATGGAGAGAAGCTCATGGAGGAGTCTTTGCCAGACCCCCCAGCTGGTACCCCATGTAAGAAGGTACCATCCAGAGGCTGGCCTTTGCCAGGAGCTGGGGCCAGAGAACAGGGTGGGTCAGCAGGGGGCAGCAGAGACCCAGTCACTAGTGTCCAGTCAACATCCAGTGGCCTCTTGGCTACCCCTTCCCCCAGACAAGTTGAGAGCCCGTAACACAGAGGGTTGCGGTAGATGGGTTTTGGCGCTGCCAGCGGTGGGCCAGGGTAGGAGTGAGCCCGGGGATTGTAGGGCAGAAGCTCAACAGGGCCGGAGTCCTGCATCTTCTCAGAGCCCTCTGTCGGTGGGCGGTAGAGCAGGCAGTTGGACATCAGGCTGTCTGCCCGAAGTGGCGGTCCTGGCATGTTGGTGGGGTACAAGGGTGGATAGGGGGTCCATGATGCCAGCCGCTCAGACCCTGCCTTAGGAGCACCCCCCATGGGACAAGAATAGTATGCACCCTTGTAGCTGCAGGGGTCCTGCCTGCCAGCAGAGGGCAGGCTGTGCCCAGGCCCTGAGTCAGCCTCTAGGCGAGGCAGTTTGCCATACATTACAGGGCCCAGGGTGCCCAGAGGCCGCTTATCCGCCATCACTGTGAAAGCTCCTGGCCCCTGCTACTGCACTGCTGACCTGGGAGAGAGAGGGAGAGAGAGAGCTGCTGTCAGAAAAACTCCATGGGCAAGAGAAGGTTGCTATTCTTGCTGGCTCTTTGCCACACCCAAGGGGAATCTCCATGAAGACTGTATGAATGAATGAATGAATGCATGCGTGAATCATATAATGCATAGGTTTCCAATGATTTTCTTTGTTAAGCTGCAGAATTTTGTTTAATGACTTCTTGTGCAGCAGTCCTACTCTTAACCCCCACCCTCACTTCAGAAGCCCCTGTATTCAGTTTTCTTCCACATGACCCCAAGATCTTTTCCCTGGGGTTTCAGGCTTTGCAGGGCACAGTCTGAAGATCACTTAGCCCAGCTACCTTCCACCACCACCCCCTTTTTTTTTTCACAGATGAGGAGACCCACTTGTGGTTTCAAAGTCACTGACAAAAGAGATGGGATGAGAAGTAGGCCTCCTGCCTTGTACTACAAGCACCTATTCCAAGACAAATTGAAAGTGTCCATAGCAGCCACAATACAGAGTCCAGGCACTGTCTACAAATTCAGATTTCTTGTGACACTCTCTGATCTGCCAGCTTAATAAAAAAACTGCAGAGCCATGCCTCGAATCCAGATCCCTAGGCCCAGAGCCAATGCTGAGCTATTGGTCTTGGCTCTGGAGGGCAGGTCCCAGGTGGGTAGTATCTGTGAAAGCCACACCACCTCCTATCTTAGCTCAGCCTCCCAACAGGAGGGTCACGGCTGTCCAGCAGATGGTGCTATGGCACCAGCAAAAAGATCACAGAAGCTAGGCGAGCCCTGATCATCTTCAACTTTCAAGCTGCAGGTGGCTATTTCAGGGCACATGGGGGCAGCACAGCACCAGGGTCATGGAAAGGATGGGGCTAGAGATGTGAAAATCCAAGGAGGGAGGCTTCAATTGTACTGATGGGAAAACTGAGTGCCAGAGAAAGACTAAGGCCCTGAATCCAAGTCAAGCAAGGATTGAGACCCAGGCTCAGAGAGGTCCAATGTGGGTGTGCTTGACACACCAGGTATCAATGATCCATGATGAACTCCAGCTGAGGCGGGCCACAGTGGCCTGCCTCAACCTCTTCTGGGGCTCAGCTCCTGAAACCCCAGGTGGCTTAAGAGGGCTGAATCAGCTCAATCTTGTAGTGATTAGGCCATGGGCCAGGTGTCACAGGTTTTCTTTCCCAACAAGCAAAGACCAGCCCATCATCCCAGCCCCTCCCTTCTGGCTGGTAACAAATAATAGCAACAGGCTCAGAATTGGACCAGAACATTCTGGGGATGGGAAAAACTAAAAGTAGTATAAGGGCCACTCCCCCACCACAGCCTGACTGCATCAAGGCAGCACTCTTAAGAAAGCTGGGCCATGTCTTGGCCAGAATCTGCTACTCAGGCCAGCCTAGAGTAGAGGATGCTCTGAGAAAGACAGTAAGATATAGGCAACAGTACCATTAGCAGTGTCCTGTGACAGGGCCCTGCATCTTGTGGGAAAGGGGAGCCCTCATCCAGCTTCACAGCAGCTTTGCAAGAAGGGGCTGTACAACTTTTGGGGTGTTAAGCTCCCACACTACCCTTGAGGTACACTGGATTAATTAAGTGCTGGTTCTAGTCTCACCTCCCCCCACAAGCTCCCTGGGGCCTGCTCTATACCACCCCCAGCCCCAGGAGTCTTACCCTCCTGGGCTCCACACTTCTCTTGCCCTTTTGCCCTGGAGACTTTCCCAGACTCTGATAGGGACCCAGCCAATAGAGGTGAAGTAACCTGGGACCGGCAGGAGTCTTTGTGGGTGGGATGGGGTCTCCAGAGGGGCAGCAGAAGAGTATGAGGGGTTGGGGTGACCTTATCTCCTGTCAGTAGATAATGGCAAGCCAAGATACAATTCCCCAAGTGAGGACCCTTCCCATTCAAGACAGTAGTAAGATGTAGGTACCTCCTTCCTTAGTAGATACACATAAAGAAAGCCAGTTGAGAGCTTGCAGTCAGACACCAGGGAACATGGTCACATCACCCCTTGAGGGGGCAGGCAGTTCTATTAGTCCTCTCCACCCAGCTCTAACTCCAGACAGGGCCAAGGAGAAATGCCTACCACCTCTGTGCCATACCTGCTAGCTCAACTCCAGCTTCTAAAAGCCTCTGGACAGACGAGGAAAGAACGGAAAGCTCTCCAGCTGTGACCAGCAACATCTGGCCTTTCTCCGAGGGCTGCATCAAGCCTCCTCTCTCTATTGGCTGAGGCTCTGGGCCCTCCCGAGGCTACAACTCAACCTGGGGCAGTTCAGTCTCTATACTAGGGGAAAGAGTCGGGGGATCGGCCTCTTCCTCTCTCACCCAGGCCCTGCAACTCTGGTCCCTGGGGCCCAAAGCCGATTTCACTTTGGAGCTCCCGCCGTATCCGACCTCACCGGCTTCCGGGTGCCCCCACGCCCCGCCCGGCGGCGCTAGGGCGCACGTGCACCCCGGCAGGCTGACACACAGGCCACCGCCACGCATGCAAACTCGTGCCTGCACGTACGTGCATGGCCCACATCTGCACACACGCCCCTTTAGAACTGCGCTTTCCCCTCGCCCGGGCCTCCACCACACGTGTGCACACCGGCAGGCCCGCGCACCAAGCCCCGCGGAGCGACGCCCGAAGGCCGGCGGGAGGTCCTGGTGTAGGGGGCCACCCGGCCGCAAAGTCCGGGCAGCCACAGCCTCGGGGCAACCCCGCCAGCCTGGGCTGCGGCCAGAGAGTGAGTCAACCAGTGGTGAGGAAACCGCAGGGCCGTCCCGTCCCCAGCAGGGCGCGTCCAGGGCCTCACGGCGCCTTAGCGCCCGCCGCCCCCAGGCTCGGCCTCCAGCCGCCTCCACATCCCCTCTCCGGCTGTCCACGTGAGCCGACCCCGCGGGAGGCCTGGGGGCTCGGCCTGAGCTCCTTCTCTCCGGTCTCGCGCTGCTGCTGGGTCAGAAGCCTGGGCCCCGCGGAAACCCTGGAGCTCTGTCAGGCATCAAGAGCCTCGAAGTCCGAGAAAGATAGGAGCAGCAGCGCCATCCCCGCCAGGTAGCCCGCCCACCCTGTGGCCCCGGCGGCTAGAAGCCGAACCATCTCCGCCCAGGCCCGGCAAGCTCCATCCCCCGGCCGGCCAGTAGGGGCGCCCTGGGGCAGCGCCACCCGCCCCTTCCTCACGCGCCGCCCGCAAACTCGGCCCAAGTTTCCGCGTCCGCCGAGCAGGCGAGCTCCTACCTGCAGAACTCCCGGCTTCCTGCTGCTGCTATCCCGGGCCGCGATTGCGGCCTCATCCTCCAGCGCCACCGAGGTCTTAGGTCCTTGTCGGGCCCGGCCCTGCGCGGGAAGTCGTGGTGAGCACCAAGCCTGGAGCTACCCTCCTCACAGCCGTTCGCGCCGCCGCCGGGCGCCGTCTGCGGTCCCGGGAGGGGCGGGCTGGGGGCGGAGCGGGGGCGGGGCGGGACGCGAGGTGGGGGCAGAGCCGGGCCGCGCCTCTGGGAGCCTTCGCTCCCTGGGCCCCGGGGTGCAGCGGGCCTGCGTGGGGCCTGCTTTCCCGGGACCGAGTTCTGGACGCTGCGCATCGTCTGTATCAGTCCCGCCCAGCGAACCAGAGCCCAGGGGCCAGCACACGCCCTCGTTCAGTCACTCCGTTAGATCATGTATTCATTGCCACTTTCTAGCTATGTGATCTTCTGCGTGCCACTTTACCTCTCTGAGCTTCAGTTTCCTTATTTGTAAAGCTGGGATTATATCTCCCTGGTGTCTAAGGCCTAAAAGAGGTTGTTATTAAAATATCTGGCACACTGTAGGTTCCTTTTCTCCCTTAACCTGTACTAGTTGCATTGTTGTTATTGTTAGGTGCCATCAAGTGGATTCTCAATTCATAGTGATCACATGTGCTTGAGTAGAATTTCCCTGTGGGGTTTCTAGGCTGTAATCTTTAGGACAGAAAATCGACAGGTCTTTCTCCCATGAAGCCACTGGTAGGTTCCAGTCACCAACTTTTCCGTTAGCCGAGAAGCACTTACTTAATGGTTGTGCAGGACTCCTTGCTAGTTGCATTAGAGGATCGGAGAGGGGCCAGTTCTGTCACCTCATTGGGTATACCAGTTAGGGCAAACCCCAGACAAGTGCAACTCAAGCCCTCTTAGGGAGCCAAAGCAGAGTGAGGAAGGTATAATCTCCCTACCCCTGGAGTGGACCAGGAAAGGAGAATGCTGGGAGCTTGCTAAAGGAGCTCTGGAGGCCTAGTGGATAAGGCATTTGGGTGCAAACCAGAAGGTTAATGGTTCAAACACACCAGCTGCTCCACTGAAGGAAAATAGGGCAATCTACTTCTGTAAAGATTTACAGTCTCGGAAACCCAATTGAGGTTGCTGTGAGTCAGAATTAACTTGATGGCAGTGAGATTTTTTTTTTTTTTTTTTTAGGAGGGGAGATTGCTAAGTGGCTCCAATGGGTATCTCTGAACCTTTTTGTTAAGTTTCTCTCAATAAGACAGGCCTGGGCACCAGCAGCCAGGGAGGAAGCTGGAGTGGAGCATTCCTAGCTGGGAGTGAGTTTGTTGTAGAGAGAGAGGGGCTGGAGAGGTGGAAGGGCTGCCTCCATTTTCCCTGACCCTCTGGACCAGTGGATTTTGGATGAGCACCTCCTCAAAGCTGCTACCTTCTCTGAAGAAACCTGGGGACCAAGCTGTCTGAGGGTTGTGGACAGATGTGTACAGTTGGAGTGGGGGACAGGTGGATAAGCTGAAGGTCAGAGCAAGTTCATGGGGCAAAACCACCCAAGCCAGCTAGAGTACCCATCTGCTCAGATCCCAAAAGTTCCAAGAACCAGGAAACAGCTGAAGTAGCTAGGGCTGAAGGGGAGGGGCCTGACATTGAAGGTAGGAACCAAAGACCAGACCCCTTCAGTTGCCCTGGAGTTGGTTTTGACTCATGGTGACCCCATGTGTTGCAGATAGAACTGTAT